CATACCCATCCCTCTTGGGAAAGTGAGGAAAACCCTTCTGCTTGAGGGTGAGGAGGAGTTCTAATTTCATGGCAGGCAGTGAAAAAGAGCTGAGGGGAAAGGGACTTGTTCTGTTCCTGCTATTTAAATTTATTCCCTTCACCTTACTGACCCTCACTCACAGCAGCTCCAGCAACGTGCCCTTCCACTTCATGCTTTTCTCCCATTTGCTTAGTCCTTTATTCATCAGCAGTAGCTGTTGCATGCACTGGTTTCTCACACTGTTAGCCAACACACATGCTACTTCAGGCCCCACACCTTCCCGTATTTAGGAACAAGGAATAATAGTAACCTTTTGCTGATCGCATACCCATTGCTGATGGCAAGCAGGATATGGCCCACAAGCTGCCAGCTCTTGAAGTCATGCATGTAGGGTTTTAAGGTGTAATCCTTTCCTTGTAAGGAGGTACCAGTTGAGGAATGTTACCTTCCTAACACATTGTTGTCATGCTGATGCTTCTTATCAGTACAGGCTGGGCCAGCTCCTTAGATCATCATCGACTCCACACTTCTTTTCTATGACAGATTGGTGAGAGCTTTTCCACAGCTTAGCTGTACAAATGGACAAGATCTGCTTGTTTCTCTGGAAGGATGTAGCTTTCCTTTTTTACTTTTGGCAGTGGGTTCACTTGGTTTCTCTTCTGATACCGCACTAACAGTGCAGAGAGGAAATGCCTACAGGCATGTTCTTTTCAGGGCACTCTGTGAACCCCAGCACAAAAGAGAATGAGGTTGTTGAATGCCCACTTGTGCCCTGCTCGCTTGAGAGAACACAGCCTGTGTGACTGAGCTGGCTGTTAATTGTTTTTCCTTTGCTGAGCTGGGGTTCTTGCCCTTGTTTCCCCAAGGCGATTTGCTTTCTCTTTCTCTGTGTGCTGCATATTTTTACTGACCCAGACTTCTCCATTTCCCATGCAGTTATTCTATAAGAATGGGCAACCCTTCCCTGCTCACCGGCCTGTGGGGCTGCGAGTTCACATCTGCCATGTGGAGCTAGCAATTGATATTCCTGTAACCCAGGAAGTTCTTCAGGAGCCTAATTCCAATGTGGTGAAAGTGGCCTTCACTGTGCGCAGGGCTGGGAGATACGAGATCACTGTAAAACTCGGTGGCTTGAATGTGGCCTACAGCCCCTACTACAAGGTGTTCCAGCCAGGTAAGGTCTAAGTGGCCCAGTAATGGTTTAACGTAGATTCGGAGGTACTGGAGGCAGTTAGGTAGATGTGTTTCCAGCTAAAATAAGTAGGTGACAGGGAAAGGGTTACCTGTCATCATTTTCCTCTTGCCACGTGGAGATCCCAGCAATAGACCCGTGAATAAAACATACTTGTGACTGCCTGTACGTGGCAAAAGAGAAACTGCCTTAGAGAATAAGTCATTAATGCTGCTTGAACTCCCTAACCACTTGTGTCATGTTCTCCATTTTGTACTCTCTTCTACATGATCCACCTAGCAGTCAAGAGAATGAATTTTTGTGAAAGTATCGTGTTGTTTGTATCCAGATTGGAAATGCTGTCGTGATTTGACTCTTTTCCTCTTTTGAATACCCTACTCTATTCTTTTAAGTTCCTGGAGCAGTTGATACCTTTTATTATACACTTCTTTAAATACATTTCTTTTTTAGCCATTTTAAATTGTTTCCTTTTACTTTTGTTTTTTTGACTCCAATGGGCATGTTTTCTATTTCATGTCCATGTTCACTGAAAGTACCTGCGTTACATTGCATTGTGTTGATGATCTTTCAGGGTCCCTTCCAACTCCTAATATTTTGTGATTCTGTGAACACAAAGCTTGCTAAGATAGCCCTTTAGAAAGAGGGAGCTCAGATTCAACTCGTGTACTCTCCAGGCTGAAGTTTGTGTGGTAAGCTGTGTCTGCAGGGTTCCTTGACTTGTGCTTTGTATCTGCAGTGGGAGCAAGTTCTTGAAGGTTAGAATGGAGGAAAGAGCATTCTTTAGAGGGCTAGTAACTGGGTTTGCTTTATCAGTATTAAATTTCTGACCCAATGCAGATCCTGTGCACCACACCATGTATTTCAGTGCTCAGATGCTTTGTTTTTTGCAGGTAGGGCCATAGAATGTGTTTAGGTTTGATCCATTTTCATGGGAATTGTGTCTGTAGTTGCTTTTCCTTTGCTCTTTAGCTTCACCGTGGAATTTGTTTAACTCTAAACTGTTGTTGTCTGCTTCAGGTATGGTGGTTCCCTCCAAAACCAAAATTGTCTGCCATTTCTCCACTCTGGTGCTGACCTGTGGGCAGCAGCACACTCTGCAGATAGTTCCCAGAGACGAGTATGACAATCCCACCAGCAATTCTGTGTCCCTTATAGATGAGCACAATTACAGCCTCTCCATCCATGAGGTGAGTGCAACCCTATCCCTTGCTGCTTGACTTCAGGTGAGCTAGAGAGCCCCCTTTATTAATTTGTTTTCTGTTTAGCTGGGTCCTCAAGAAGAAGAGAGCTCTGACGTTGTATTTGAGAAGTCTGTGGTGTCCAATCGGCAGACTTGTGAAGTGTTTTTCCGGCTCACCTTGCACTGTAGGGGCTGTTTCCACGCCTGCATCTCCTACCAGAACCAGCCCATAAGCAATGGTGATTTTGACATCATTGTTCTAAGTGGTGAGTCAAGAGCTACTCAGGATTCGTTCTCCAGGTGTCCTCTTACAAGATGCTTTGCACGCTCATGCAGCAGACCTAAATGTGGCTTCCCTGCAGGCTAGCCATGCTTAATTGCTTGAGGAATGCCTATCCGTTTGAAAATGCTAAGGTAAATGAAATTGCTGCTGACAAGGGAGATCGGTGAAGGCTGATATTCTCTGTTCCATCAGCAGATAAAAGCACTTGTGTTTTTTTCCCCTATCACAGGAGGTTTACCTCTGAAATTAAGCAATTTTTATTGCTTGCTAGAACTTGGCATCTGAACCACACTGTGAGCGAGCCAGTTATGTATTGTACATTAACTTGTATGGGTGAAGAACACTGCATGTAACCAAAGCGCTATTTTTCTTTTTTAATTTTATTTTTTCCTTGCAATTTTGTAATTCCTGGATTCTTCAGGAGTCAGTCAGTCTGCAGTGTGGCTGTCAGGTGGCTATGTCTTCAGGCTGGTGCTCTGAGACAGAGGTTCTGTGTGCCTTTTTCCTTGAACCAGTTGGCACCTGAAGCCAGGACAGACAAACTGCTGTCTTGAAATATTTTCCTCCCACTCCTGGGTTCTCTTTATCAGAGTTTCACATGGCAAGGTTTTCCTTTGGATGTGCAGCCTTGTCTTTAAAATCGTAGTAACTACTTTGGTGGTGGTCTGTGGATTCTTTCTATTTTTTGATTCTGCTCTCCATTTAGATTTACACAACTCACTTGTGTCTGTTTCTCTCAGAGAACGAAAAGAACATTGTCGAACGCAATGTGTCCACCTCAGGTGTCAGTATTTACTTTGAAGCCTACCTTTACGATGCTCCTAGTTATACCAACACTCAATGGCAACTTCCACCAACGCACCTGAGCTCCTCCCAGCGTCGCCCTTCTACTGCAACTGAGGATGAAGATGAGGATTCTCCCTCTGACAGCCAAACCCCTGAGAAAGTGAAGAAACCTAAAAAAGTGTACTGCTATGTGTCACCTAAGGTAGCTATCACAAAGTTAACCACTCTTGAGTGCATGTTTAAAACACACTACAACTGAAGAGCTTCCTTGTGCCCTGTATCTTAGCTGCAGGTTTACGTGACTTAGATTTGGCTAAAAAAGGTTTGCCTAAGGCTAGACAGCAAATGTGGAGCTCGTGACTGAGAATAATGTTTAAATGCTCCTTGAAGTTTTAGGACTCCATGTGTGTTTCTAGGTCTGATCCAAAGCCTACTGGGAATTTTCTCCCTGATTGTCCAGTAGATATTCTGTTTGCCTTTGCTTTGCCCTGGTCAGGTCAGACGTGTGATTCCCTCTCTGTTTCCAGTACTTGTAGATCAGAACTTAGAGGAAGACACTCCTCAGATTTTGTCTTTGTCCTGTTTCTTGAATGTTTCAGGGAAAAACAAAAGGGAAAAAAAATAGAGGACAAAGGGTAAATGTGTAAGTAGAGGAAACAGGATTCAAGCAATTCAAGAGAAACTTACAGTTCTCTTATAGTAAGACTATGTTAAAAGAGACTGTTACCCCTTATTATTGCCTATGAGCATTCAGGGAAACTAGAAAGAAAAGTCCGCTAAATCTACTAATTAATTTAAATTCACTTTGTTAATCTGTCCATCTGAATGCATTCTGAAAAATGCAGTGATTAATATCAAAGTGAAAAACTAATCCAGGAGTTGCTTTCCTGACAGAGAGAAAGAGGGCTGTGAAACAGGTCTAGGATGCAGAGTGTTGCTAGAGATTTCTAGATCTCTGCTGCAGAACGGACTCTGGGAATGAGTGATGGGTCCTCGTGAGCTCAGCATCCTTTCAACCTGGGGATATCATTCTGGATTTTTATACCTCTTCTGTTGCATTACCTGGTAAACGAGATCACCAGAAGTGGGTACTGCTGCAGGTTCCTTTTAGGTACCAAAGTTCTTAATGTGATCCTGATGCTTAAATAATTGCATCCCTGGATATATCTCTATATCTACCTGGAGCATCTGTCCTGTACAGTAGATAACTGTCACTATGCTGTCATTTCTTTGAGGGGTTGCTCTTCAAATTTGCTTTGTTTCTGGAGGAATGCTGCTCGTCAGTTTTTCCAGTCATTGCAGCTAGAACAGACTTGTGCAGGAAATGGTTTTGTGTTTTGTCTAAAGATTTCATCTTAGCTTGCTCTCCAAAAGGCGACAGTTCCACAGTTGGGAGTTATTTGTTCTGGCAGAAATATATTAAGAAGAATGTTCTTCAAATCTCCTGGATTTAGCAATTGCAAGAGTTTTTAAAAAGTTGTTTGAAATGGTTGTGAAAATTAGGTGGCAGTAGCAATAGTTCTGTTAGACAGTGACTTTTTCCAAAACCTTTTTGTCAGTGCGTTACAATCTTGTCCTGAATTCAGCCTCTCAAGTGTACTTAACGTTACTTTCCAATTAGGCTGGTGATGTTCTGCTGAACACAGTGGCTTACTGCTGTAAATTCTGTGTCGTGCTGGGATCCCATGTGTCCTGAATACACGCAGTTAAGTCTTACTGACAAGTTGCTTACAGTTCTGTAGAGCTTGAAAGGTTTTTATGTATTGAGCCAGAAGAAGATGTCACCAAAAGTTGCAGAAACCTGTCCCTGGGGTTGGAGGGAGGTCTGGCCTTATGGATCTGTCCTGTGCCTCATGTGTTTCAGGGACAGTCCTTCACAGATGTGACCTTTAATATTTTCTTTTCCTTGTGGTTACTCAGCAATTCTCAGTGAAAGAATTTTACCTGAAGATCATTCCGTGGCGCCTTTACACCTTTAGAGTGTGTCCTGGCACAAAGGTGAGCCTCTTCGCAGGTAGCAGTCGCTGCACCTCCGTGTTGTTAGCTTATGGTCTTTGTGAATGACAGTCTGAGTTGTTGGTTTATTTTTCCTTTTGAAGAGAAGGGCTTCCACCCACAGAGCAACATTTTGTTGTGCAGAATTCAAACTCTGGAATTCCCTCTCGATGCCTAAATTCTGCTAATATTTAAGAATAGTAGCTAGTTGTATCAATCCTTCCTGCCTTTGATGCAATGCTAGGAAAAATCTCGTTTGCTTTTTGCATTTCTCTTGTTTGTATTCCTCATAACCTTGCTAAAATGCTGTGATTTTGTCCACTGAAGCCCCCTAGGCTAGGGTGTGAAGTTTGAAGCAGCCTCCTGACTGGAGTCTGGATGCTTGAAATAATGTTCCTGTTAATTGCATCCTGCATGGGTGAGCAGAGCAAGTCTTAGAGCACAGGTGGTGTTGCTCTGTCTACTGAACATACTGTGCCTTCTGCATGATGGGTTTACCCTTTCTTGCATCTTTTTGCTGCTAGTTTTCATACCTTGGTCCTGACCCTGTGCACAAATTACTGACACTGGTGGTGGATGATGGGATCCAACCCCCTGTGGAGCTCAGCTGCAAGGAGAGGAACATCTTGGCAGCCACTTTCATTCGCTCTCTGCATAAAAACATAGGTAAAGGGGCGGTGAGGTGGGTACAGTAGTCAGGAAGTTAGCACATAAATCTGCTAGTTTCCCCAAGGAATGAAGATTGCCAGCACTGAATGACCTTTGATGAGCACTCTGATTCCTGGAGTCTTGTGTTCTCTTCCTGTTGGTGCTTCCAGTGAATGTATTTTATTATGCCAGCTGTTCCTTTTCAGTTTGGCTTTTCTGTCAGGCTCTTTGAAAGTGCACCTGTGAGTATCTGAATGTCAGCAACACTAACTGCATACTGCCTTTAGACTTCTGTCTCCAAACCTTGCTCGTCCTTGGGCTGTGAAGCTGACCTGTGCAGTTAGTCTTAGGAATGCCTTCTAGATGTGTGAGGTGTTGAGAGCTCAGGCCTGACCCGAGTTGTCACTGTTCTCAGGAGGCTCAGAGACCTTCCAGGACAAAGTAAACTTCTTCCAGCGAGAGCTTCGTCAGGTGCACATGAAAAGACCTCATTCAAAGGTGACGCTGAAGGTCAGCCGGCACAGCCTGCTGGAGTCGGTGAGTGCATAGGTCACTTTGCTTAAACCCAGTGCTTCCTCCTTCCTGTTTCTTCTGCTCAGTGCCTACAGAAATCCAAACTGGCATGTGCTAGGGCAGCCACACTAAAAAGGGTCAGCCCCTCTGTTTCAAGGCAGATGCCAGTAGACAGCTTGAGATGGGAAAAAGAAAATTAAAATCTAAAGGTGGTTCCTCTGTGTCAAGGTTTAATATTGTGTGGGATGCTGTGTACCTTCTCTACAGCCAGTTAGATCAGACCAGTTTCTTAAATAATTAGGAAACTTTGGCTCTGATAAATTTTTAAGGAACTCATCGTGGAGTAAATTGAGCCCTGAGAGATATCTAGGTTAAATACATGCAGAGCCTGGAAAAGCAGGAAATCTGCTGGTGCAGTTCTGTCCCTGCTCTGCATTGGAACCTGAGGCCCAGAGAGAGACTGTCTACCTGGACCGGATTTGGGAGCAGAACCTAGAGCTGTTGAGTCTTTATCTACTGTTTCTCTGGTACGGAGCCATTCGGCGAGGGAAGCTGTCAAGTCAGGTGTTACTGAGCTGCATACATGAAACTCTTGCATCAACAGGCTTCTAGTGGGGTTCAGTGTGATGATGATAAAATATCTGTAGAGTCTGAGTTAAATCTTCACCGATGCTGACCTGAGCTGATGTGTTTCCAAAATCAGACTTAAGAAATAGTCATGCGTATAATAGAGTTCTTAGCTGCCATTCTGAGTACTGTGTACACAGGGCAGGCGGTTACCCTGACTTATTGTTTCCACATGTGTCTCACAGTGGTAATGTTATAAAGATGGAAAAGAACATTTCTGGGGAAAGCAGGAGTGACTGGGATTTTCCTTGATTTACACTCAGTAAATCTATTTTGCAATATTTTCTGCACTTATGAGCTTGTAGCGTTAGTGAGATTGTTTCAGTTAATAGCTTGCTGCAAAATAACTTCACATCTAAACAGTATTTCCATGAGTATCTTTTGCCTCTATTTTGGAAATTTCTGCACTGTCATGAGCGCTGGTGTTACAGCCTGGTAAGACAAAATAAATAACGTGCTGTAACAATAATAAATGTAAGCTTTAGTGTCCAGGTCTGCCAGGCACAGTGAATGTGACCAGTGTGTTTAGCCCAGAGGTGTGACTGGCCTGATTCTCGAACCTATTTGAAGATTGGCTAAGCCGAAGCTACCTGTACGACTGAGGGCTGCTGTGCAGCTTTTAAAGTTTTCTTTAACTGGAATCAGAATTGGGACACAGGAAGTTCTAGATACTTGAAATACTTTGTTACTTTTTTGCATTGTGACTTGCTTTAAGTATGAACTCGGTGAACTCTTCGAGATATTTTCTGATGCTCTCTGAAACGTTCCTTTTGAAAATCTAACTTGTGGGCTGAGTGCTTTACAGAAATTGCTCCTTCCCACAGGCATTTTAATTCTTTAAACAGTACTGTGGTGCAGCCTTGAGAGGGATATGACTGTGCTGTGCTAAGACATCACTGGTTTTAAGATGAGCTGTATTTATGTGGATAATGTGTCTCATTAGAAAATGAGGAATTGGCTTCTGTGGCTTTGGACAAATAAGAATTAGACCTCAGAAGTTCCTAATTCTCGGTTTTATACTTTAGAGTACTAGACTGTGTCTTGGTTTTTATATTGCTTAAATTGCCCAGCCACATGTGCAGGATTGCATAGTGGTTACTGGGTGCCAAGCACTAACGGCTGCTGCTAATATATTTTTTTTTCTCCCTAGTCTTTTAAAGCAACACGGAATTTTTCTGTTTCTGACTGGAGCAAAAACTTTGAAGTGATTTTTCAGGATGAAGAAGGTGAGTTATCCTGTGAATACATTTGAGGAGCAGGTAAAAGGAGTGCCAGTGGAGTGGTTTTAGAAATTCTGTTTTCTTGTAGCATGCCTGTCCTTTCTGGCTTGCCAGCCCTTTTACTTTCTCACAGGTGTTAGTGAAGTATCCTGCTGGTGCAACTCTATCCCTACTTTACATAGGGACCTGAGGCCCAATAAAAAATATTAGGACTAGGTTTGGGAGCAGGCCCTAGAGTTCTGGAGTCCCTGTCTAATGCTTTTTTGCTATGGAGCTGTTCACTGCAATGAGCTCTCATGTCGGGTAATACTGAGCAGCATGCAAGAAACTCTTGAACTAATGACCCATGGATGACCAAGCTTGTTTTGTTTTGTAGCTCTGGACTGGGGAGGTCCACGCAGAGAGTGGTTTGAGCTCATCTGTAAGGCGTTGTTTGATACCACCAATCAACTCTTTACCCGCTTTAGTGATAATAACCAGGCCTTGGTGAGTCTGCAGTTCCTATGCTGAATGCACAGAACTGTGTGCATTGATATGCTACTGGTTAAATAACGCTGATGCTAAATTCAGTAAGTGGTGTGCAACCTTACCTGTTCTTTAGCTTGCCTGCACAGTCACTTCCAGTGCCTTGCTTCAAGCTTTCCTTAATGATCTTCACCCCCTGAAGTGTCAAAGAACTGGCTGGATGAACAGCAGAGGGTGGCCAGACAGCAGGGAAGGCTGGATTTCTGGGCAAGAGGAGGTGGCATTAGAGGCTTTGTTGGGTCTGAGTGTTGTAGAAGCAGTTTCTGGTCTCACACAGCTTCTGGCCTGTGCATGTGAAACATTTTGTATTCTTCCTAGGCAGGCTCAGGCATTTTATTTCTATTGCCTGTCTTTGAGGATATTACACTAAATCTTCTGGGACAGGCTGAGATGCAGTGACTCAAACTGGTCTGATATTTGCTATTTGTGCTAGGCTTGTCTGGTACTTGAAAATTTAATTTTGCTTCCTCTTTGCAGGTGCATCCAAATCCAGGGCGTCCCACATATTTACGACTGAAAGTATATGAATTTGCAGGCCGCCTAGTAGGAAAGTGTCTTTATGAATCCTCTCTGGGAGGTGCTTACAAACAACTGGTCCGAGCTCGCTTCACCCGATCCTTCCTGGCTCAGATCATAGGACTTCGTATGCATTACAAGGTAAAGCCTCCCAGCCATGTCTGAAGCCTATACTGGCTCTCCTTCTCTCCTCTGGGGAGAGGTTGAATGTTGGTGTAGTAGAAGCAGATCCAGAGTTCTGGTTAACAATGTATGGTTTGTTTTGTTTTTCTTTTCTTCCCTCCAATGTCCCTGTCTTCTTTTTCTTTCACACAGTATTTTGAAACAGATGACCCAGAATTCTATAAATCCAAAGTTTGTTTCATACTGAACAATGATGTGAGTGAGATGGATCTTGTTTTTGCTGAAGAGAAGTATAGCAAAACAGGACAGCTGGAGAAGGTAAGGGAGGCAGTTCCTGAAGGTGGGACAGTTTAACCCCTTCTGCCTCTAGCAGAAGAGGAGGGGAGGCAGAGAACCCTGCTATGTGCCCCTGAAAATTGAGCTTGCTTTGGGCATTTACTCCTTGCTTGGGTTTATTCTGGTTAGGAGTTGAGGTTTGGGGAATGCTGCTGGTCACACTCACGTCAAGTGCTCTCCTGTTTTCAGGTGGTGGAACTGGTGACAGGAGGAGCCCAAGTACCAGTGACCAATGAAAACAAAATCTTGTATCTAAACCTGCTTGCGCAGTACAGGCTGGCCAGTCAGGTCAGAGAGGAGGTGGATCACTTCCTGAAAGGTAACACGCTGTCTGCTCCCCTCTCCTTTCTGCCTTCATGTCCCAGGGGGTAGCACTTGCTGCTCTTCTCTTCTCTCCTCTTCTCTTCCAGGTCTTAATGAATTAGTTCCTGAGAACCTCCTGGCAATTTTTGATGAGAATGAGCTTGAGGTAATTGCTGCCTCCCTAAGCATCTCTACCTTTACTTTCCCT